CTCACCCATGAAATGAAACAATTAATGACTTACCTTAGTCTCGCATCTCGCATATTATCTAACCACCAAAAGATGGCCAAAAACGAGAACCCTGCAACCCAAGATAAAGTGCTTACCAAATATATCCCACCTTCCCAGCACCGTACGACAGCCAAGTAAAAAAAACCAATTAATATCCCCGCACATACACGCACCACAGGCGCTTAACCCGCCACTACAATTCTCTCCCTCCCAGAGAGGATAGGAACTATGTACCTGCCTACCTAATCAACAGAACGACCTCGCCTGCCCGCTTATATCGGATGAACGGTGTGGTAGTACCCGGGCAAGGACACGAAGAAAAATATGCGGCTAATTTACTTCCCCCCCGAAAATAGATTACGGTCACACACACCGAATCCTGATTTTGTGAGTGGTAGATGGGATGGGTGGGGAATGGAGGGAAAGCGACCCACTGGAAGAATAACACCTAATATTTCCCATTCCGGATTTAGAGCTGGATGGTGGATGGTCCCATGCAAGGTAAGGTGTTGGTGGGCTGGATTTTTATTACACCGCGACTCTTTTCTTTTCCTTCTTTGGAAATGGGGGTTTTTTATTTCTACGATTGGGGCTGTTGATGGTGTACGATCTACTAGCTGTACGTATTTCGGCGTCTAAAAAGGACTTGCGCGACTTCTTAAAAGCGCCAGCGTTTGCGTTTGCGTCTGTCTCGTCTTTCTTCCAGTAGTCCTGGGGATGGTGTATCATTGGTTGATATGCGTCTTCTTCGTTGAAGCGCCCTTCAATGATATCGCGATGGACTTTTTGGAATCGAAGCGCTGCCATATATTAGAGGGACATGAGAGCCTCTCGATTTATACTGGCAGGGTTGTTTTGAGGAAAGAGATTCGTATATGTTAACGGTCGTGGCCACCCTCCATCATTTTCTGGTATGCTTTATTGTTGTTGGGTGGGATGTGTTGGCGGTAGATGTTGGAGATTCGAGAAGTCGTTGGAGGGTTGTTTGGCATTTAATACGTACGCGTGGCTTCTTGATCATGGGATTGGAGTCGAAGGGATTGTCTTCTATGTTTAGATTTGCTGTTTTCTCTCCATACCTCCAATTGGGGTTGGGATACAACAGTCTGTCGGGACAACTTGATCATCAAGAGACCTTCAAATTGTATGAGGTTGGTTGCATCAAATTATGACAAGCTTTTAGGTCATGGAATTTTCAAAAGGCCTATAAACTACCTGACTTGTGCTGGATTGGTTACCTAGCGGCTACTTCCTTTTATTGATGTCTTCTTGTCGTTCGAAGGCAGCAAGGAAGTCGTAACGATGATACCGTTACAACCCCCAGGATCTTTCTTCCTTTAGTACTTTCATTGTTCTGAGTTTTATTTAAAAAAGTTGATATTGTAATATCCAATTCTTCGGAACTATCGTGGTCCTCGGTTCAAACTTAAGGTTAATATTCTGAAGTTTGATAGTTGGAGGCGCAGCTACGTTTAGGTTCTCAGACTACGTCCAGTAAAGGATGGTAATGTACGTGAACTGATGTCAGGAAGTCCCCATAGCTGGTTACTACTTTATCAAACTTCCCTCTGCAAAAGGTCCATGTTAGTCAACTAGATGGCAACTTCATCAGCATCTCGAGGAGGGGGGGGGGTGGTGGGAATGAGAATTATACTCAGATTCCCACACCGGCATTCGTTCCATGTCCAATTGACCATGCCTGATCGATCGGAAATCCAATCTTCCCATTCTCAGATAGACATAAGAAGCAGGTGTGCTAATAATAGTCTCCACATGATCCCACCTTGACGTAGCAAGACCAGGTATTTGGATCCCTCGATCTCCTTTTAGCCATTACCATAGATCTGCTGATTCCAAATAACCAAATTATCATGGTCGGGTTGTTGAAAGCCCGAGCAGTACCCCGCTCGTTGTGAGAAAGAAAGAGGGTGTCCATCTCGTGGATGATGAGATCCCGTCTGACGAATCTGAGATCCCTAAAATAGCATATCAGATCGTATATGGGAATATCCAACAGATGACCAACAACGCCACGAGGGTAAAAGAGGAAGATGAGCCGGTCGTCTAATCCAACCCTTAGTCCAAGTCAGAATTGAAATCTTGGTTTGTTGCTTAGATGTGTTGTGTGTATTTCTTATGGGAAAAGGGAAGGGATGGTGAGATAGATGAGAAAGAAACCGAGAACAGTTTATGGGGAAAAAGCACTTATCCCATTAAACTGCTTTTTGATTAGACTGCTTTTATATAGAGTTCAATCAACGTGTTCGATCTCTATTTCCTGATGGTCAAGTTTGGTAGTTGACAACGAAGTGAGTTTTCTGATAGCTCCCAAAACGCGGATCACCCCTTTCCTTTTACTTTGAACAAGAATAAAGTTTATTTAATAACCTAAGGGATTCTAGAGTGATCTAGGTCCTTGCATTGTTTCTGTGACTCAAGGTAGGTTTCTCTGATAAGTATAGGGAGCAGTATATGATGATTCGTTGTGGTACTGTCAAGTAGTGCATACCTCGGAAAGAAAAAATGGCATTCAATTAGACCATTCATAAATCTAACAACCTGAATCTAAAAGAAAGATATCTTTCATCATAATACTACAAGACAACAAACTCCGAGACTTTTCAAGTCCTATGCAACTATTTCTCACCCCCAACGCCAAATTTTGATCAGCAGGTAAAATTACACAGTCGACATGTCACACTTTCATCGTTCTTCAAATCCTATTCGACAGCTCTTTCTACAAAGCTCACTATATTCGTTGCAAGCAGCAAGTTCATTTCATTTCTCTTTTATAACTTGAAATTATGGTTGCAACTAGCATATTATCATATAGCGTGAAACATAGGGATTGAAATTGAATTAGAAGATTGAGACTTAGAGGTCTCGGTCTCGGTGCATGAGAACAAGCCAATCGAAATAGTTAGAAATGGTATCTAATCTAAGGTTTTCCTAATACCGTCGTTCGTTTTCTCCGTAAAGTTATTATGTTACTCCCATCTTTGCATGTCCGAATATTGGAATGAGTCCTTTTATAGCGCGCTTAATAGCATCGCATATCCAAAAAAGTCTCAAATAAGGTCTTCTCTTGCTCAAGGACTGGAGAGTCTTTATGAACTATAGACACTACACCAAACGAAGCAAAGTAAAAATTGGCCATATTTCTCAACTTCGCATAACTATATAAGAAGGAGAAGAATCGTCAATTTATCATCTAGCGACATAATCATACACAACTTCTGTATTCAACATAGTATTCGCATTCTCGCTTAGCAAATCTACTCTTCTAACAACCACGTTTTACAAAGCATGGAGATATCGGCATGTCACCTCACGAGACCTATGCTTCGCCACAAGAATACCAATTAATTCCAAATTCCCTTTAACTCCATTCAAATCCAAACTCAATTCGGATTTGAAACACACGAACAGAGAGCATACCCACCGACCCCCAACGCACCTGCGCAAAACAACCAACAACCGTATTTCCATCACAAAGACCCCCCAACCAAAGCGAGAAGTACCACAATGTTATCCTGCAAGAATAGAAATCTCAAATCTTTACTCAGGCTTAAATAAACTTCCATCGCGACGTCGGAAGAGATGTATGTATTATCCCCGCCATTCAACCAAGACAGTGAGAAAGTCTATACATAGGCAAGGCGAGGAGACGGAGAGGTGGTTTCAATACTCTTGCGAGAGTAATAGTTACGCCTCCTAATATATCGCTCCCTCCCTATAATTCAAAGGAAGAGAAGGAGCGAGATCAAGTACCTACCTACGTAGGCAAGTCCAGGCTCAAGATCAAATACCTACACATAAAGCAAACTAACACTCGCTACGCAAGACTTCCTTTCCACATATTAGGAAGAAACACCAACAACCCCACACCGCAAAAACCAACAATCCACGCCTAATCTAACCTCGCTAGCTAGCTACCTACCAAGTCTCCAACTCCAGCTCGCAACTTCCATCCCCTTCCCCTTTCCCCTTCCTCATTAACAGAGCATGGTATAACGCAATCCTTTCCTGATCAGTGATAACAACTGGTATGGTATCCTACTTTCGCCTTCGTAGGCAGGTCGACGAGACCATTGGAGTCGCGGGACTCTGATTTGATGACGATGTATGTGCTAGTACTAGTACAACAGAGGAATACAACGTTAAAATATAGATAGAGAAGGGGAAGGGGGGAGTAAGGTAGAAGGAAAGCTCAACTCGCCCCGTATGCAGGTGTATTTTTAACCCGAATTTTTGAACAATGGAGTACAAGAAAGTAATACAATCAAGGACGCATTCCCTTAAAAGCAAAGTTAGATAGGTATGCTCAAAAACCACAGGTGAAATTATTACTCCATTCATTCTCTCCAAAATGTAGACTTGAAACCCCCACTCCCTCTTTCCCACCAAAATAAAAACAAGAAAGGTTCCCAGCGCAACCCCAAAAATGCCAGCCTTAAAAACCAAAGATAGATAGAGGGATTAGAGGAGACTAGAATCCCTTGAAAGAAGCAATGTCCATCCATCGATATCCATCACTCACTCACTCCTCAATAGGTATCCCACAAAAGGAAGAGTTCATTTACACCATAAAAAACAAAAAAACACCAACAAACCAAACCCAGAACCCCCAAATCGACAAGAAACAAAACCCTCAATCCCCAAGGGAATAATGAAGTACGGTAAGGTATCGCGTAGTGGTCAACAATACCATGGTGCACGTACGTACGCCTTAACGCCCGACCCAACGACTCCCAAACATCCACATCACATCAGGGAAATTATCGTGCCAGCGAGAGAATTGAGATGAAGAAATCTCCCGTCTCGCCTCATCTCGTGAGAAATTTACGATGTGTACCCATCCAAACAAAGACAATGCGACACATCACCTTTCAAATCGCCACCATCCACCTCCCAATTACCAGCTTTCATAAACAAGCTCCTCCAACCATCACCAGGAAATAGGAATGGGTTCAGACCGTCTAATTCCTGATAACAGCCTCGTAGACAGAAAGCAACATCCCTATTCCCGATCCCACGACCGGACCCGCCCATCCTCCATACATCGAAGAATTGATCCGAGCAACATACTCCAAATCCACCAATCCCCCAAACGTAACATCCTGTCCATAAATTGCAAAGCTTATAAGTGCCTTGACAAGATTATAAGTCATAGGATCAAAGGTATACGCGAACTGTTGGCCCGCGCGCGCCTTGCTCGACCCAGCCGTCAAGTTGAAGAAATACGCAGCGGTGAGCGGAACGAAGAAGCTGGTGAAAGCCCATAATGTAGCCGGTCCCCAGAACGAAGATGTAAGAAGCAAGAAGAGATCCGGTGCACGGAATGCGCGCTCGCTCGTGTCTAGGAACTTGATAGTGGGGATCATGAAGAGATTGATATTGGGCAAGATTTCCGCGCGCAGGTTGGAGATTTCGAATAAGTTGATGAGAGCTTGGATCACGACGAGTGAGGAGAGCGATTCCCGTGTCGCATGCGTGGTTTCTATGATTCCTGACTCGGCGTAGGCATTCGAGACCTTGGAGCGGAGGACTGCTGTTCGACGGTCGATTGCGTCCGCGACGACGGCGGGGGAGGGAGGAAGTGGCACACTGGATGCGAAAGCAAGTGCAGAAGAACGCGCTGGTGTTCGTGCAAGTGCTGAACGCGTGCGAGTGGTTGCGGGCTCGACTTCAGAGTCGTCACTGCAGTGGTGTGGTTAGCTGAAGCTCTCATCGCATGACGCGCATGACATGATCGACGCGCGCGCGCATTGGAGCTGGAGGGAGGTTAACTCACGTTGCAGCAAAGAAATCCTCATTTGCTCTTGTAGCTCTGCGCTTGATCACCCTGCTCACAGGCACAAGATCAGAGATCACCGATGCGCTCTCCCTCTTCACCGGCGAGTGGCCCTTTCGTTTCGTGTTGTAGTATGGATCGAGGCGCGAGTCTCCCGAGTACATGTCGGCATTTTCAGTGAGGTATTCATCGAGCGCAACTTCGACTTCCGTCTTTCGCATGCCCTCATAGCTGCGATAACAGTTAGTCCAGTGTCTGGAAATGCGCGAGTATGCGCGCGCGTTGGGTGCAGCTTACTCCTTAAAATCGACGTGATCGCATAGGTCAATGAGCTCAGCTTTTCGCATTTTCTGCAGCCAACTTGAGACGCCCGACATGGTGGAGGAATGCAAACAATAGCGAGCGACTATGCGACAAGAATGATGTGGTTTGGCTGATTCTGTGGGTGGTGGCTTATTGGGAGGAATGTTGACGTTGAAGCAAGAGAGGAGTTGTGTAAATGTGCATATTGTGGGTGAAGCGGCCGGGGAAGGCGAGCTGGGGGTTTTGGCGATGTCAACAAACCGCTAGAGAACCAGTGGGGCCACGCGATTGGCCACTTTCTATGTAAACAACATATTGCCCTCTTTGTGAAACCGCGGTGTATGCGGTGTCACTTGATGCTTTGATCTTTCTTTTTCTTATTTCGAGATTCAATTCAAGAACTGAAGGAACTTATTAAGCTACGAGCGAGCTAACTCTGAAGAGTTTATCTTTGCGGTGCTCTACCAATTGTCTCATGAAAGATTTTTAGAGAAGTATCAACAAAAAAGGCTTTTGGTTCCCGAGAGAAAATTGTTTATTCATGACTATCTCACTAACGATCAACAGAAAGCATTCAATCAGTACTGTAAGCAAATTACCCTCAACTCGACACAAGCAAATAACCCCTGCAAAGGTGTCCTGTGACCATATCCTATCCGTTTCCAATCTTGTTTCCCATACTCCCTAGACAACCTCGATGAAAGTAATTTATTGAGGTGCTGGGCTAATGTTTTGGTACTTCTCAGGACGTTGAACAGTACCAAATCTCTTATTTCCTTGATCGAAAATCTATAGTTGCTCATCAGTAAAATGGTGAGCTGCCAAGGATTCGCAAGACTTACCGCATAAACACCCTTCAAAAAGGTATCTCCCAGGATATCGAAAGGCAAAGTGCCTCGTGACTGGATACCTCCGTAGACGGTACCGTTACCAATATCAACAAATCCCAAGTCCTCCTTTTGAATAATGAATTGCTTGTTACCAACAGCAACCGTAACATCTGGAAGTTGATCAACAGTAGTATTCGTTGGGTAAACCCAACCTTGGTTTCTGTAATCGTATTTTCCGCCTGGGATGGCGCTGTAGATAGCTTTGCAGACAGCATCAGAGACAAGAGCAAGTGTGGTTCCAGTGTCGGCGATAGCGATATTCTTGCTTTGTTGGATAATTTTACCATTTACAACTGTGGAAGTAGAGTCGAAAAGCCAGAATCCCTCAGCGCTCTCGATGGGGGTCCAGTGGATTTCTTGTCCTGATGCTTTGACCGTAGCATCATCAATGTATCCGAAAGTATAGAAAGACTCTCCGTGGTCGGGCTCATTCGCATCGCGCCAACTACCAAGTTTGGCAGTGAAGAGCTCAGCAGAGGCCGGAATTGCATCCTCGGAAATCATGTTATCGACTGGTGTGGACACCGGGGTTGGTCGAACAGTATTGATATTTCCAAATGCGAGACCAAGGAGTCCATCACCAGTGCCCCGAACAAATTGCTTTGACAGTTTGGTTGCTAGTTCAATACCCTGGTTCTGAATTGACAAGCCACCGATGGTAACTTTATCATAACCGACATTTCCCGAGGCTGAAGATCCATCTCCATACGAAATCTTCCAGGTTAAGCGGTTGTCAGTTCCGAAAGTGGATGATTCGTCGGGATTGAAGATAGTGTGACCGCTACCTTGGGATAAAGTCTCTTCATCAAGAAGAGTAGACCAGACCTATTTAGAGTCAGAAATGATAATCTGATGGAAAGGGAAAAGGTAAACCAACCCAAAGATCGGCAGAGCCAGTATCAAAGTCCAAATTGAGGGTTTGTGCAGGAGTACCAATTTGGACTGGACAAAGGTACAAGGAATCGTTTTGGATATCCTCAGCAGATACTTTACCAGCTGAATCATCGTCTCCCTTCTTGGCTAAGAATCGAGAGGTGATAGAGCTGCCACCAAACTTGTGGAAGCTGGCGTGGGCATCAGTCTCGGACTTCTCTTGGTAATATGGACCTGGTTGAGTGGGCTCAAAGCCCCATTTGTTGAGTAGTTTGGCATATGACTTGATACCGGATTTCTTGTAGTTCTTGTTGAGGACAATTCGTACCTTGTGCAATCCCTTGAGAGCGGTAGACATGTTGGAAAGAGGATGGGCGTTTTGTGAAAGAAGTGTAAGCTTGTATTGGAGGTGTCTTTATGTTTGTAGGTTGTGTTGGAAAGTTTTGATGGTGATGTGTGATGATAAAAAATGAACTTTTGGGGAAGCGGTCCCTCCTTTATGTATCCCTCCCATTCAATAGGGGAGGTCTGGCTCTGAGACTCATTGCAGGAAAGAGCAGCCCCATTCAGGTTGGGAATGAGGCAAGGACAACTTGAGAAGCAAGACAAGTCATGTGTGAAAGATCCACTGCAACTTACCTACGTTGCCTTCTTGGTGTAACAAGAAGTATTAATTTAAAATCAAATCTCCTCAAATATTCGGATCTACCTGGTACAAGTTCGCTAGTTTGATACAGCATCATCGCATCTCCCACAGCAGAGCAAAGCTTGTTTGTATGCAATGCTGGCGGGGTTACATTCTGGGATCAAGATGTGGAGCCGTGGAGGTTTATTCATCAAATAACATTAGCTTCGAGCTTCTGGTATGACTGAGTGTGATAGGAAGTACAAGCCTTCTCACACCCACTCACTCCACATGGTGTCAGCGAGTGAGGTGCATGATAAGGTGCCTCAACCACATGGCAACCATACCTACCCAAATGTGGGGGGTACATACATGATCTTGTGTCTACGTAACATCCTAATGTCTCACCGTGCCAAGGAAAACAGACAGATTCCAGCTATCCCCAAACCAAAGGTGGTTGTCAGAAACCAAGAGTAGAAAGATACCCAGTTGGTCAAGTTCAGAAGAGATGGTGTGAAGGGAGTCGCGAGCTAGACCCCGCGGGTCTAACGCCAGCTACTGTACCTAGTTTCCACCAATACAATTCCTGTGCAACCGTCAACTTTCTTCCGTAACCAGCCAAAGTTCTGCTTTCCCTCTTTACGAATCCACCACATTCAATATCATGAAAAGCTTCGGTATCTTCTAGATAGAAGCAGTAGCAGAGATACGTGAACACCCGTGATGCAACTCATGACATCATTGCCGTACCCCTATTCACCTCCCAGACTGCGCATTCTTATTTTGTTTTTGTTTGGGAAAATAGAAGCTGGTATCTGGATAGATACGTATAGCTTCCTTTGGTATTTGGTATTTTTGATATAATTTAATGCTATTGGGAATAAGCAAGGTTGCCATACCAGAAATGAAGGAGCTTTTGGGGTGTACAACGGCCTTCTACAGTAGCTTATGGTCTATTGAAAAAATAATTGGGGCTAGAGGCGGAAGAGCCCCCACATAAGTACCGCTCAACACCATCTGCAAATCAATGCGAAAGTTCCTTAATTATAGTTACACAGTGTTACAAGGCTTGTTTCTATACAGCAACTTCGGGTAGATAAGTAATGGTGCTGCATACCTATTGTACCTACTGCGCCACAATAGCCGTCAGGATACAATGACATCCTGTTTTATAGACGAAAGGTTAGCCTTGGGGGATCGTATGATATCTTCGTTTAGCGTACATGTGAAGGACAAGGAAAGGAAAAGAACGGCGGTGTCCTCCGATATTCGCAGCCTAGTTTGATGGTGAAGTGGTGTGCTGAGCCGACCGGAACAATGTTCAAGTGAGCAAAGAAAATGGAGTGAAAATTTGCAACTATTGTGCGAAATTTGAGAAAAACTACTTCAACCATGACCTGACTGCAATCTCCCACCATCATTCATGAAACATAGTATCATAATTCACAAAGACGTCTGTATGAATCACCCACGATACAGGAGATGTCGCTTGAACAATACTAATGTCTGACAATAGGCTCTTTCAAAATGACAATACTATTGTCATGATTCGGAAATAAGCGATGTATGTGAATAGAGCAAGCAGTGAGCTATGAGAAAATGAACTCATAAGGCAATTTTATTCACGAAACAACCCATTTCCCAATTCACCGTCACGCTTCCAGTCAACTTGAGCCGAGCCTCGACGATGAATCATATCCTCTTATAATAAGGATTTGATGAAATGGGAGCTTCTCAACTCTCCGGCTCCCCACCGCGAAACTTCCCTCGCATGCCTCTGACAAAATGGGGAAATCCAAGATCCACAGAATCCACCGTGGGAACGATTCGTGGATTAAGGACATCAAAGTCTTGACCTGTATCCTTCGGCTACGCTGCCAACCACCGGTCACTTACGTCAACATCGCTGAGTACTTACTCGCAGTATGGCCTGTCGCTATGCTACGAATCGCTGGTCGTCGATACTCTGCGGCAAGAGATCTACCGGCTGACCTCGAAGCCAACAAGGAGCTGAAGGAGGAATACATGAATGACTTGCTACCCCGAATCTTCACCACTTGTGAGAATGAAGAAGAGGAAGCCTGGAAAGTGGCAAAGGAATGGGATGATACCACTGTGCGTGAAATCCTAAAGCACACGGGGTTGGGAGAATTGGGATACGAGATCGCTGATGAACGGGAGATGGCTTTGCAAATATTGTGGAGAAAGACAAACGACTTCAGAGCTGGTTCCTTCCCAGAACCATATACGATGACCAGCAACTATGAAGCTCATCATGGAAGATTGAGACAGTACAAACCCACACCAGGCCAGCGATCTTTGCTCTCTGTCTCGGAGGAAAGCCTTCTTCGAAGAAGTTCTGTTGATAGCGGGAAAGCCACTATTCAACTTCTACGACTTGGTCCACACTCTCATGTAACCAAGAGAGGCACAAGGAGAATGCCGGATGCACAACGCAGCCCTTTTATCAAACAGGCCGCAGAGATTCAAACTGCCTCAAATTCATTTGAAGATGCACCAGCAACCGGAATGCAAGCAGCAACGACGGGAAAACCGAGAGTTGAAGGGATGTTGAGAATTAGGGAAGAATGATGGAGACATTTTTGTAGGCTGGAATTCGAAGCATGACATTGTTAATGACACCGAGTGCTTATAAGACAGCCATTTCTGCCTTAAAGGAATCGAGATATCTATACGGGGAATAGGGAACGGCATATGGATTCTTTTAGGAATTATTGGTAGCGTGGAGTTCTGGTTCCTGGGGGCAACACTTGTTGTACAGTACACTGTCGCATGAATTAGCGACTGTCTTTCTTGATACAATTCTCGAAGCCCACATAACAGACCATACGTCTCTTTTTGTGAACATGCATAGTATTCCCCGCAAAGCTCTACTTGAACTGTGAAGTGACAAGAGTTAGGTAGCGGATGGAGAAGTATCCGCCTGGTTGGACTCCAACATTCTGATTGTTGCTGTTTCAATGAGGCTGGAATCAAAATTTTCCGTAATATATTTCAATTTGCATCAGAATGACCACTCAAGCAGCCGCATCTTGGAAAGCGGAGCTCGGTTGCCCTATGAAGCTACGAGCGCCTGAGGGACAGGTTCATATAAATAGAAGCCGCAATTGCTCCGCCACGATATATAAAGCAATTAGAGGGAATGGAGAGTTGCCGGTGCCGGTAGACGCAGTCCTTCCCGGGAGACTTGAAATATCTCACACAGGCATACTCTAGGCACACTTCCGGTCTCCGTGGTATGATGGAGGTGCAGGCCAAATTAGAGTGCGGAAGTCAAGGAGGAGTTTTGAAGTGCTCCGCCCCCAAAACATTTACATCAGCTTACTAAAATCACGCGCCTCTTGATTGGCCGAATTAGCGGGGTCCTGCCCCACCACGAATCAATTCCCCCTCAGAAGTTGCGCAGGTGTTGGGTTCGCTGCAGCAGAGGAGCTGATGATTGCCCGTAAGAAAGACATTAAAGCTTACTCTTACCCTTCCACCTCCTTTTGCTTGCTGCGACTGCTCTCTACACTACATCCATAAAAGAGACGTCGACGTCTCGTATCTCATCCCCTTCCCTTTGACCACCGCGAAGGGGCTTCCATTCTCTTGCGACCCGACCACCACATCTCCCAGATTCACCACCACCAGCCTCACTGTCACTTTTTGAAAGCCACAGCCACCAACTCACGATTGATCTGCGCCATCGTACAATTCACTCCTCTGCTATATACTCAAATCCTCTCTCGCTTTGCTTCAGCATCTGCAACTCTCCAATCCACCGTATCGGTCGCATACTACAGCTGCTTCTGCATCGTTGATCGCTTTGTCCTCGGCGCAAGGAATTTATCGTTCGATACCGAATCCAACCCCACCGAATATCCGTAAACCAGCATAATGTCTGATCTCGCAGGAAGAAAGGTCTTCAAGGTCTTCAATCAAGACTTCATCGTTGACGAGAGGTACACGGTCACAAAGGAACTAGGTCAAGGTGCCTATGGTATTGTTTGGTAGGCCATGATTCCAACCCCTCAGCCTACAGCACAGCACAGCACAGCGCAAGAAGGTTTACTGACTACCTGCAGTGCTGCCACCAACACCCAGACCCAAGAAGGCGTTGCGATCAAGAAGGTTACCAATGTATTCAGCAAGAAGATTTTGGCCAAGCGTGCGCTGCGAGAGATAAAGTTGCTACAACACTTCAGAGGTCATCGCAATGTGCGTATACATCCAAGTATGGCGGGGTAATATGCTGACGGGAGCAGATTACATGCCTGTACGATATGGATATCCCAAGGCCAGACAACTTCAATGAAACATATCTCTACGAGGGTAACAAGACACCATACAAATTTGCGACCCCGCGCTAACTCTTTCCTTCAGAACTGATGGAATGCGATCTCGCTGCCATCATCCGATCCGGCCAACCCCTCACTGATGCCCATTTCCAGTCATTCATCTACCAAATCCTTTGTGGTCTAAAATATATCCACTCGGCCAATGTTCTTCATCGTGATCTGAAACCAGGAAATCTTCTCGTCAATGCTGATTGCGAGTTGAAGATTTGCGATTTCGGTTTGGCCAGAGGATTTTCCGTGGACCCAGAAGAGAATGCGGGGTACATGACCGAATATGTTGCTACTAGGTGGTACAGAGCCCCAGAGATTATGCTGAGTTTCCAAAGCTACACAAAAGCTAGTAAGTATCCTACGTTTCACGAACCGCTGTGCCTTTCTAACAAAAACTAGTCGATGTTTGGTCGGTTGGTTGTATCTTGGCGGAGTTGCTTGGCGGACGTCCATTCTTCAAGGGTCGTGATTATGTTGATCAACTCAACCAGATTCTCCACATTCTGGGAACGCCAAATGAAGAGACTCTCTCCCGAATTGGGTCGCCAAGAGCACAGGAATATGTTCGAAACTTGCCATTCATGGCCAAGAGACCTTTCCCAAGTCTCTTTCCAAATGCTAACCCGGATGCTCTTGATCTTTTGAACCATATGCTCGCATTCGACCCATCTTCCCGTATCTCTGTCGAGGAAGCTCTCGAGCACCCATACCTCCACATCTGGCATGATGCTTCGGACGAACCGGGTTGCCCTACTACCTTCAACTTCGACTTTGAAGTTGTTGAAGATGTAGGTGAGATGCGAAAGATGATCTTGGATGAGGTTGCCAGATTCCGTCAACATGTTCGAGTTCAACCAGGGACACAAGGAGCATCTCAAGGTCCGGCCGTACCAATTCCTCAAGGTGGTGGTGGAACCTGGGGAGCCGAAGATCCAAGACCACAAGAAACTTATGGACAAAATGCGACTGGGTTAGAGCAAGACTTGCAGGGTGGTTTGGATGCTATGCATTCATAGAGTTGCTATGACTAGAATCCGCGTGGTGTTGGATTGATTTCTTATGATGGTGTTTACGATGAATGGATATTAAGGACGCATTTAGGTGTTTGTTCTTGGGAAGGTATGAGATGAGATGATGATATTTGATGGGATGTTCCATTCATGAGGTATGTTTGGTTGGCAGCAGAAGATGAAATGACGGTTTTTGGTGGTATGTGGGTATGTGGGTATATGCATGTAGTTCAGATAGGGGAGAGAAATTGGAGGGGATCAAAATCTTCTTGAGGAAGTTTTACTAAATTATTATAACATCGCATCTTTCTGTTTGATTCCTTATTTGTGATTTCCCTTCTTTGGTTTCTCACGAATCTTTTTCTTTGTCTGGTTTGTTTTGGTCGTACTTTCTCTCTATTTATGGTATCCTTACTATCATATAAGGGTTATACCCTAGTATATTATTTAGAAAAAAGTAAGGAAGAGTAGAAAGGAGATAGAAACAGGGAAATATTTTGTTTATACGTGCCCTCGCTTAATTAGCCAGCACTTAAATACCACCTTCTAAAAGAGGTCGAGTAAGGTACGTATAGTGCTAACAACTATTTACTGCCTACTTAGCCCTCCTTGCTCTTTCTCCAGCTTTCTGACCTTTCTTCTCGGTAGATAGACTACGATAGGGTAAGGGACGAGGGGGATATAATAGTAGGGGGTGTAACAGAGCTCGCGAGAATGGGAGTATATGCTGACATGCTGTAGCATGTGGGAGATACGTGGGGGTACGGCTATAGAGGTAGGAAAAGGGGCGTGGACTTGTAATAGAGGACTTATACTTTGTAGGATTGGTTTGGAATAGATTTTTAGGCTGACTCTTTTCTCTGGCTTTCCCTATAATAAAGTGACTTTTAGGAATTTAAGATTCACACTTTGCGATTAATAGTCAATTATCTCGTTATTGGTCTAACTGTATAATTAGGATGCCGTAGAATGCTATAATACTCTTTCTGACCAGTTTTTGCTTTTCTAGAAGAGCTCTTTTGAAAGTAGAGCCTTTCTTGATTTATCTCTCATAAACTAACTATCTTCTCTTATTATACTCAAATAAGGCCTAGCCATGTCAAGTCTTCCTGATAGCTTTCCTTACCGGTCAAATTGGCTTATAGGTCCGGATTTAGTAAAAATCCTACGTTCCGTCAGCAGAGGTCAGCCCTCCACTTGTCGGACTTGAGTCCGCATTAGATATACTTTTTCAAGACTACCTTATTCGGGCCATCGCCATGATCCAAGCAGACAATCAAAACCTAGCACCTCTCACTTGGGGGCAGGAAGGCTACTATACACGTTTGCAACCTATTTTTCCAGAGTTCGTTCCATTCTTTTTATTATAGTTTGTATGAGAATGCGTCATTTCCCCCTATCTCATTCACGGACCCTGAAGGGCACCTTCCGCCAGCCTTTGCAACTTCCCAGGAACAGTAATTCTAACACTCTTACAATATGTCGATCTTTACGACTACAATCAAATGCTTCCCAGCCAATGAAAAACAAGTTTCCGCAAAAATATCGAATTTCGGATATGATTTTCCGGCGCTCTCTTTTACAGGACTTTTCTCCGTCGCAGAATAATGGTGCAATTGGAATGCTCGTCCGAGTCTTCTACACACATTTCATAATTATCTTTCTCGTTCTTTTGGTTTTGGACAATGTTTTTGAGCCGTTCTTTTATGTCGGTTGGTTCATAGCGACATTGTCGGCCGCCATGCCGACGCTTCCTCCGAAGGAAGCAAAGGAGGCTCCAGGACTGAGGTTGGAAACTCGATATGGTGAAGATAACGATATTCATGAACTTCGAGAATTTGTTCGCGACAGATCTAGGATTTTAGTTGAGGCTGAAGCTTGTGAAGCGTTCCATGCAAAGCGGGCGCGAGAGTGTCAACAAGCCAATGCAAGCCTTTTCTTTTGTCATAACCAGAAGCCTAGCTGCTTCCAACAACCCAAGAACTGTAATGACCATAACCCCCTTCTCAAACATGTTTTTATTACAGCTTTACTTATCTGTTGGAGGGAAACCCCCAGCCGTGCTACTATAGTCTCAGACTCACACAGCACGTTAAAAGGAATAATAATAATAATAATAATAATAAGCCAATGCAAGCGAAACCATTGGGGCAACCGTGCAGGAAGGTGTATTGGTTACCCGGGAACAATTGAAATCGTTTTGGAAATTGGTTGAACGGCCCAATTCAGAAGACGAGCAATCGGACTCCTTAGCTTACGATTACCTTCCTGATCGATATATACGTCTTGTGGAGATCAAGCCAGGCGGAGAGAATGATGAACTGAAACTACACATCTACACTAAACTGTTTTGGCCAGATTCTAGGACATATTGGCGAAATCATCGACCACAGATCCCAAAATATTCAGCTTTGTCATACATGTGGTACAATGCCGCGAGAACAGGGAAGATTCGGGTCAATTGCGATGGGGCCAGCAAGTCACTCGACTACAACATCAATGCATTCTTGCATGAGCTGCGAAAACGTGGAGAGCTTGGCCCCTTGTGGTTTGATGTTCTTTCGATAGATCAAAAGGATGATGAAGAGAAAAGGAGAACGATTGGAATCATGGACGAAATTTAGAGAAACGCGGAGGAAGTCATCGTTTGGCTTGGCGAGGACGACAAATCTGTCGACATGAAAGCTGCCTCAGATTTGACTCGAATATTGAGCTACAAGAAATCAGAACTGTTAAGTAAGCCTTTTCTCTTCAGTGATTATGACTTCTACCCAGCGTGGAAAGCAATTAAACCCGTCCTTGAGAATCCCTATTTCAAGAGAAGTTGGATTGTACAAGAACTCGTCTTAGCAAGGAAAACACGATTTCTCATCGGCGGCCATGAATTACCTCATTTAATGGAAGCTGTTGGGGCTTTGAGTAATCAGCCTCGTTGCGAAGGCATCATAAATCAGATGTACCTCACGTCTCCTGAGATACTGCCACGGCTTAACTCTCTGTGGTTGAAAATGTTAAGCAATGAAAGTGCCACCTACAGTCGCTATCGCAAGAGTTTGTCGCCCAAACCTAGGGAAGAAAACCCCGGGTACTTCAATCCAATCCTCCCTCGCAGACTATCAGAAACCCCGACAGAGGCAAGAAAGAAACTACAGGCAAGGGAAAAAGCGCGTGCTGGGTCCAACGCATCTCGAAGTCGCGCTTGGGGTATCTTCTTCCGATCCATGTACCCACTTGAAGATGTCTTACTTAATTTTCGAGGAAAGCAAGCGACTGCACCAGATTATCAGGTTGTGGGTCTGTACGGTTTGATTCCGACTCTTACAGATAAACCATCACGGTACCCGTACCACCTTTTTCGCCAATGGCTTGCTCCCCAACCTGTCAGGACAGAATCAGAATATCACAGTAAGCATGAGAGAGAGTTTTTCAGGGAAGCTCGTCAAATCATCTCCACAAAAAGAGACCTGAGTATCCTCCAACATCACAACGTGTACTTACCAAATCATTCTGTTGGTTGGCCCTCATGGCTCCCAGACTGGTCTGCGCCCAGGCCAGGATTTGAGGCCCCTCTAGCAACAATCACCAACCAGGACACCTTTCCTAGTCAGCAGAAGAAGTTTAAATTTGAAAAAGATACACTTATCATCAACGGTCATATTCTAGGGAGAGTTGGCGAAGAAGCAAGAGTACTCACAGAGAAACAGGCCATGGCTGAAGCGAGACAATTTCAGGAACGAAGCGAGGACCGGGAGATTTCAGATCGTGAAGCCCTGCGTTTGTTTCAAACCCAGAAGAACCATCGTTTTCTCGCCGGATCGGTATATAAGGGCTCATTCGGTCACGAATTTTAAGGGCCGCAAGAAATGAAAGAGGGAGATGTCATTGTCGTCGCGGGGAAATCTTGGGAGCCTCTTCTAAGAGAAACCAAATGTAAGTGTGGTGCGTATGTGGTGCTTGGTACTTGTTATATTCCGTCGCTTACTACCGAGTCTGAGTTTTGGAAGGATGTCAGGTGGGATGTTAGGGATATGAGAATCAAATGATGTGCTTATAGAGAGGGAAGAAGGGGAGGATATAAGGCGAGTAGAATCTCCTGAAAGTCGCATAGGTAGATTTTGATTTTCAAGCTTGCGATTTCCTATTTAAGCGTTTAAATAGGTCGGAATGATGCCTAGGCGCGCAACGGGGCTCGGTCCGACAAGCTCCGTACCACTTAAGGTGTAGTACACATAACCCCCTAAGCGAACCCCCCTCCTCCCCCTCCCCCTC